TACTGCAGGTTACGAGGAATTGTTAAAAGCAAATTTCCCTCTTCCTTCTCTTCGCACTTTAAGTAGGAAGTTAGAAAATCTTAAATTCGAAAGTGGGACAATTAACAAAATTTTTGAATTTATGAAAATTAAAATTTCTGGGTTCGAAAAAAAAATTGATAAAGATTGCACATTAGTGCTCGATGAGATGAGTATTTCCGCTGGTACTTTTTATGATGCATCAACAAACACGATCATTGGCAACGTTACATTGCCAGATCATGATACAAGTATTTTTGCTACCCATAGCCTCGTTTTTATGTTAGCCGGAATTGCTTCGAGATGGAAACAAGTGGTTGCATATTATTTTACTGGTAATAAAGTCAACGGTGAAAAATTAAAACCTATAGTTGAAGCGATTATAAAAAAAGCTGAGGAAATTGGTTTAATTGTTCATAATGTCACTTCGGATATGGGACCAAACAATCAAGCAATGTGGAGAGCGTTTGGAATACAAGTTTCAAATGTTATAATTCAAAATAGTTGTAAGCATCCTTGCTCTAATGATAGGCTTTTGTACTTTTATTCGGACGTACCTCATGCTTTAAAAAATATTAAAACTGGCTTTATAAATAATGAAACAATAACCATTCCAGATTATTTTGTTAATAAGTTTGCATTACCTACAAATGTAGCTAATTGTAGTCATTTAAACGCTATTCTTATTGCTGATGAAAATTGTGATATAAAGTTAGCTCCTAAGTTGCGATCTGAATATTTATCTGGAAAAAATCATTTTCAAAAAATGAAAGTTAATACTGCTACAACAGTATTCAGCGATCAAGTAGGGACAGCTCTTGAATTGTTAGCAAACTCAAACGATGCCATGATAACGACTGCTTGGTTTTTAAAATTTATTGCTCGATGGTTTCGAACAATGAGCGGAAGAAATTTGTATTTAGCTTTAGGATTGAGTTGCATGGAAAAATTTGAAGAAACAATTGCTTTTCTAAATGAAGTAATTGAACTTTTCAAAGGCTTAAAAGTAGGAAAGAATGGAAATTGGAAGCCTTTTCAAACAGCTGTGATAATGTCTACAACGACCGTCCTTCAATTAACTTTGGTTTTACTACGTGACAGAGGTTTTAATTATTTTTTACCTTTGCGTCTTTCGCAAGACTGTATCGAGAACTTATTTTCTGTAATAAGATTAAAAAACGTAATTCCGAATGCATTTCAATTTAAAAACAATTTAAAATTGATAAGTATTTCTTAGTTCATGAAGAGTATATCTAATAGTAATTACGAAACTGATGATAGAGAATTTTTTTCAGAATTTTTAGATATTTTAATGGAAAACAGCAAGTCTGTAAGCAAATCTGAACAAGTACAAGTATTTAATATAATGCCAGAAAAAATTGTTTTCGGTAAATTAGAATTAAACAAAATTTATTATGTTGCCGGATATTTAATGGCGAATATTATGAAAAATCAAATTGTATGCAATACTTGTATAAATGCAACAGGATCAATACAGTCAAATAATTATTATTACAGTGCCTTAACACGTCTCAGATGTAAAAACGTAAATACTTTATTTTTTGTAAATCCTGTCACGTTCAACTTTTTTCTTCAAATGGCAAAAATATTTAAGACTTTTTATCCTCGTATTAGAGTACAAAAACATGTAAATCTGAAACAATTCTTTGTAAAATTATATAACCAAAGTACTTTTTCTCTATGTACTTTTTCTGCATGCCATAATTTGAAAGAAAAAATTATTAAAAGGTTTATAGCATTTCAATTGAAAAATTGTTCGCGTGCGATAACTCCGTGTAATAAAAATGCAATACGTGCGAGCAAAAGCATGGTAATGCATACATACATTAAATAAAATACATGAATTTTCTTATAAAAAAGTTTAACATTCCTTTTTTATTCTTATTTCCTGTTATTCATGCTACTTTCACTTTCATTGCTTGCGTACTTTCTCTGATAAATATTTCTGAGAAATCTATGTTGTTTAGATTTAGATCTCTAATGAATCTTTCTTTTAGATCGTACCATCGTCTAATATACATCCAGCTATTAAAGGAATTGAATTTCATCCTTACACATAGGATATGGGACACAACTGCAATTAAAATGACAAATTTTGGCCTCGAACAATCAGATCAACTCTCTATACATTTTTTCCAATCAAGTTATACAAAATTGCACAGAAGTAAATATAAACGACAAGAAATAAATAATAAACAATTGTACATAAAAATTGTATTAAAAAATTAATGAGAAATAAACGAAATTGTTCACATATTTTTTAGGAATATTGCAACGTATTATTCTATATAATTTGCTTATATTTTTCTACGAGTCTAAATACAATACTTAAATTATATTTATAATAATACATAATGTATATATTTATATATATATAAAACGTAACATGTGTATTTATACATATAATAATAATATATAATTCCTTAATAATCTCAATTTATATTACCTAACCTTACATGGGAAAACTAATGAAATATAGTAAGCCTTTTTTAAATATATTGTTTTAATATTCATTATTCACATTCCTAAATAAAAAACATCAATAACTTCAAATAAAACTATATATCGAATTGTTGCATTTATTCAACATTCAAAATAAACCGCCATCAAAAACGTCATATCCGACACCCGGTTTTACCCCACGTGGGGTAAAACGATGGCTCGTTGTCGAATCTCTGTTATAGTATCTCTACCTGATCGGTGTCCTCCCTTTCTCTCCTCCCCAACGACAACTTTGCCTATTTCTTCGGCGAGCCCAAAACAAGGAATAGGAGGGAGGGAGTGGGATACTATTAAGTTCACAAATCTAAATTAAGATCTTCTTTTATTGGAGTCCCATACATCCTTGCAATCGGTAGCGGAAATGATGGTGGTCAGTAGTTCCTTTCTTTTGGTGACTCGGAGAATCTTCGCTAGATCCTTACGCTTGGAATTTTTCGGTAGCTCCTTCAAGTTTTAGTTAGGGACTCGATTTAAGAAAGATTCAATCAGGGACATAATAAGCTTTAATGTGAACTTTTTCTATGGGTGCGTCATCAAGATTAGCAAGCTCATATACGACCGGTAACGTCACGTCACAATATTACAAAGATATTTGCAATATCTCTACGGTAACATCTCCATCGAGTCTACGACATATCTTTTATTGTCATATGGATTCAGAGCGATTTTCGATTCGGATATCGTGTACCTTGTGTAATTTAGATCGTATACACAATTGACGACAAGTCATTTCGATTTCTTCGTTCAAACACGGCGTATAATCGTCGAACGTTATCGTTTGCGCTACGACGTTACTCTTTACGCCTTTCGCCTTTTTAATGTCTTTCTTGCCGTTCACCCTCACTGCGTACATCTTCGCTCTGAGTCCAACGAATTCGGTCATTATCGCACCGTTGTTCTTCATCCTTCATTAAACCGTATTTTCTTATTCGTGAAAGGCATATTGTATGCGTTGTCGCGATCATGTCGAATGTAGCGATATCACGTTATCGTCTCGTAAATGTCCTCACACTCAACGCGATATATAAGACTGTCTGTGTCGGTGTACATGATTTTGCATTTGTCGTGATACATCAGTGACATGTATTTGTGGCATAATTCGAACAAGCAGATACTTTCAAGCAGTACTTTTGATATGTGGAGTATACACATATTCACGTAAATCGGCTTGTTGAAATTCATCTCGAGTTTGCAGTTCGACGGCGATCAAATTTTCCGCAAAAAAATGTTATGATTGTAGAAATTCGGCTTCGTGATTATTGCCTCCGCGCCGTCCCATTTTGTTATTAATTTTATATCTACATGATTTCGAATGTTTTCCAAAGTTTTGCCGAATATCGCGTTATTCATTAATTTATATAAATTTTTCTTGAAATTGTTTTTCGCGCGCGTTCTGAGCTATGTATTAAATTCAATGTAATCACGGAGCCAGGCGAATTGATCGAATTGTAACACCCGATGGATCTTTGTCATGCGAAGACCGTGACGAGTACATTGCTGCAGGTTACGATAGTGGATAACGTAACTGTTTATTGTACAACATCATTAGAAGTTTATTCCCGCTTATCAAGGGACTTAGGCAGAAAGATAGGTCCGTATATCGGTCGTGTAGATGCTGCGGATACTCGAGATCAACCTCGAGAATATAACCGGATGAAACCGGAGCGATCGCACTCGCGTCAAAATTTGTAGCGTCTTCGACCCATCGAAATTTGGCGTATGGCAGCGATTAACACATCCGAACAGATTATTCATGTTGTAGTTATAATATATGATGATGGTTTCGATGAGTCATACGAATGCATGTACTTGTTATCAGCATGCGCGTATCTGTCTGAACATTGGCCACCACGT